CCGCCTCTTGCTCCGGAGCTCCCCGGGCCCGGCCCCTGCGCGAGGCTGCCGTCTGTCGCTGCAGGAGTGGGGCAGAGGCCAGGGAGGCTACGACCTCATGTTTCAGTCTGAACAGATAGATGGAAGAGAGGGAATATTATACAGGAAAGCCCTCTCTCTCTGCATGCGATTATCTGGTAACGATCTGTTTTGGGAGAGCAACCTCAGAAGGAGGAACACGCAAAACTCTCACCTTGTTTGCACTCGGAAGTGGCATTATCCCTTTAAAAACAGAATAAAATGCATGAAAAATGATACAGAAAGCAGCAGAACAGCCTGGTGCTTTAACTGGTGCTGAGCTCAGGAGAGGGGGGGAAAGGAGTCAGTCTTGCTGGTCACACCATGTGAAAAATTGGTAAAAACCATTCCTGCTGATTTAAGAGCCATCAGGTCTGTGAAGAGCTGGGCTAATTCCAGGGAGCCGGCTGTGCTCAGCCCCGCTCGCAGGTGTGGTGGGAGGAGATGGCAGGCACTGGTGCCACAGGACAGCCCAAACCCCACACACAGCGCCCGGACGCTCTCCTGAGGGCACCAGCACACGCCGACAGGCTTCCGAAAGGTGTCACCTCATCTCTGCCTGGCAAGGAAAACATCATCGGTCTCATCTCACAGGTGAGAGAACGACACAGGGAAAATGGATACTGTAAAGGCATGGGACTCGGTGGCGGAGCTGGAATGAGCACCCAGGTAGACGCACTCCGGTGCTCCCTCCGGCAGACACCTCCCCGCGCCAGCCCCGAGGGCTTCTCTGATTTCCAGTTGCCAAAACACACTGCCAACAACCGCAGATCCCTGTAACCCCTTCCTGACGTCACCTCCCCAGGCGTGACTGAGGCAACACCCACCCACGCGGGCGGGACGCCAGGCAAACCGTGCCAGCACAGGGCCCGGAGCAGGCGGCCGTGCGGCCGCAAGAAGCCAGGCACGTCACGGAACGCTCCCCAAAAGGCCGGGCCGTCAGTCCCCCGCGGGGTGCTGCTCTCGATGCTGGATATGATTTTTCCATCTGTTCTCCTTCAAGGCTGAATTTTTACTGGGCTGAGTGCTGCTTCGGCGTCCAGCGGCTCGGCCAGGGGCACAGAGGGAGCTGGGGTGAGCTGTCCCCGCAGGGCTGTGGGCACCAGCGCCAGGCGCAGTCCCAGTCGCAGGGGCTCTCTGCGGCGGCCCGGGGGTTCTGCCCCCC